CCATTCAGGGCTAACAAACCCGATTTGGGGGTCAACTTGGGATAGTGATTGGGTTTCCCAGGAACTGGGCTCTCCTTTTCATTAAAAGCTCACAGGAAAATGCCTCTGAACTTGCAGACAATCTCCCCTCCATAACCATGGCTCTCAGCAATGCAGCGGGATTAAGTCTGTCCAGGTACCAGGTTCATCCTTAACTGGTGAGGGGCCATATATCCAGTTAGCAAACTCATCCTGAATCCCTAGCCCTGTGAGCTGGGCCCTGTTCCCTGTGCTGGTGATGCAAAATGACCTGGCCAGTTAGATGCTCCTATGACTACCACAGGAAGACCCACACAAATAGAAGTCGAAAGGGATTCTGGGAAAAATGTTTCTTTTCCTATTTGCTCCAGTTTAGGTGAAATTTTAACAATGTTGCTACTGGATAGAGTTAACTCCATGCAGTTGACCTTGACCACCTTCCTCAGAATTGGCTGGGAGAGGGGCTATGAAATGAAGCCAGGAAACTCTTTGGTCTCATGTTAGAATTTAGTGCTTTATCTATGCAAACCCTCTGCAGGTGTTCATGGATACCAGCAACAAGTCTTGTTTAGGCTAATGAGACAAGTCACATTAATTAAGCCATGAGCTGCTTTTGACACATATGTATTAAAGTCACCCCTCTATTCTTACCCTGTGAAGTCCTGGTGTGGCACTGTGGGTTAATGCACTGGACTGCAAAGTTGGTTTGAACCACAAGGTCAGCTGTTCAAGCTCACCAGCCACTCCTCGGAAACCCCACACAGGATCGTTATGGGTCAGAAACAACTCGATGGCACTTAACAACAACAACATTCTTACCACGGAGTCCTGGTATGGGACTGCAGGATAATGCACTGGACTGTAAGTAAGGTCAGTGGTTCAAACCCACCAGCTGTTCCTTTGAAACCCTATACATGGTCACTATAAGTAGTAATTGACTTGACAGCACTTAACAATTCTTACCATGGAAATCCTGTTGTGGAGCTGTAAGATAAGCACTGGATGGCCAATCACTAGACCAGCGGTTCAAACCTACCATCAGCTCCTCAGAAGCCCTGTTATTAAGTTCCGTCAATTCCAGCTCATAGTGACCTTATATAGAGGTTCCAAGGAGTATCTGGTGGGTTTGAATGGATGACCTTGTTGGTTTGAAGTTCAGTACTGAACCTACAGCACCACACCACAAGTCTGGGAAACCCTATACGGGGTCGTTGTGAACCGAAACCAACTCGACGGCTTTTAGCAATTCTTACCATGAACTTTAAGAAGATTTGTTTGTACACAATTCAAAAGCCTGTGGCAATTACTAGTATGAGTTCTTTACTCTATTCAGAGACCCAGATTTCAGTACATGATTCCATACCAAAGCCCCCACCAGAGCTGGCCAGGTGGGCCCTGGTCTCCACATGGTACGATTCTCTCTGCATGAAGCCACTTCCTCTAGATGGGGTAGGGGTGAGTCAAGAGGGCTAGTCACATCCTCAGCACCCCTGCGACAAGGTGTAGTGATATGTCTGCTTTGAGATTTGTGGCTAAGTCACCTTAAAGTCAACTAGCATTCTAGCCATCCAACTGTGACATCATTTGTCCATCACTACTCCTCAGCTCAGATTCGAGACCAGTGGCTGGCTGTCTTCTCCATCAGCAGCAACCGTCCCTCCAGCTCTGTCTAGAGCTTCCTCTTGGTTTGAACCAGACATCCTGCCTTGAAGTGAAAATCCTTACAGTTCCACTTGTGTCTGTTCAACTTTGTCACTGACTCAGGAGAAACTACAACCCCCTTAACCTAGTCTCCTCCAGGGCCAGTGTAATTGGTTTCCTGTCTCTGGAGAGGTAGAGGCAGAGGCAGAGGCAGAGGGTGGAGCCTGATGGGCCCTTGTTCCGGGCAGTATTCATTCTCTGGAGAATGGCAGACAACATTCTGGACAAGAGGGAACCCGTAGGCCGTGTCTGTCAGGCTGTGGAGTCTCTGCTACTCAGCATTGTGAAGTCACTTCCCTAGGACTCATTCTCATGTCTGTGCTTTCTCAAATGCATTAAGTGGTTTGCTTCACACACACTGAATCAATATAGTGTTCGAGGTTCACGGCACTGTGAATGCTGGACTTCCGGGCTGAGGGTTGGGAGGTGACAGAGGCGCAGGTCTGCAGTAGGGTATAAGTGCGGTGCCTGGGGCCCAACCCTCTGTCTCCACCCCTCAGGTCAGAAGAGGCTCAAATTGGAGCTGCTCAGGGACCCTGGAGAGGCAGTAGCTCCTGAAATAGCCAAGCCACCAGAGTCCCTTCTCGTGGTTGTCACAGTGGACCAGACACAAAGCATGAGAGCTGTAATTTATAAAATATCCTTTATTTATTTTGTAGAACACAGTCAAGTGGTAGCTTTTTAAAAAAAACACTCAAGAGATATCAGTGTTGTGATCTGACTTGGAGCAAGGCAGTGACAGGAGCCATCTGCTTTAGCTTTGCCAAGTCCTCACCTGCACTGACCGAGGTTTGCTGGGAAGTAACTGGCTTGTTGGCCAGTTGCTTATCAGTAATAGTTTTGATGTTTACAAAGAGCAGAAGTTAACACATTGTTGGTATTTGATCAAAAGATGACTTACAATGTACTATTTCTAGAAAGTAGAAATGTTTTAAAGGAATCAATCATTTGTCTTCATTGTTTATAGATACTATGTATAATCACACTGTAATATTAATTATTAGGGAATCATTATTTCTCTACCAATTCAGAAAGTCCCTAGATTATGTAAAATTGTACTTTCTGAATTCATGTCACTGATAAAGTAACATCCAATAAGGTAGAGTAACATAAAAAAAAATTTTTTTTTCCTTCCTTCTTTGTTAGCACACAAAGGTTTAATCAATAAAAACTTAAAAAAAAAAAAAAAAGTTTGCTTGGATATGAGAACTTGAACTTCCACCAATCAGGAATGATGCCGGCTACTAAACTCCCCTCAAATCCATAAACTCCCTCAGCATTGGGCTGTTTTCACAAGACTTCCCTTCTAACAAAACACTCCCTCCTCCTCTCAGATGTGAACCTTAGATGCCAAAATACAGATACACCAACTGTAGGTGCACTGCTGAGCAGAGAAGCCTAGCAAGTTTGTCCAGCAAATTAGATTGTACTATGAATGGCGTCAGCTCTGCGCCCTCAGACAGGAAGCAGCTGGTCTCCCAGCCTCTGAGGCAGGTTGAGCCTGGTGGCTCTTAGTGGGCACTGAAAAGGGGTCTGCATGGGTGAGAACATAGGGGCTTTGAGGGAAAATACCAATGCTTGTTAGAATTGGAGGCATTTGTAGACATTCAAACTCCTTTCCTTGGAAAGAGACAAACTGAGATCTTGTCTGTGCTTGGCTGTTTCGAGACTGTCCCTCTGACTGGCCTGAGCCTCGGGTCTGCCACTTTCTCATGTCTTACTGTGGGGCAGGGAGAGATTGTCAACCCCAACCAAAAAATAGTTGAGACAGAAAAATCTCAAACCTTTTAAAACTAGGCTCACAAGCCCTTGGATCCCTTCTGCCAGCCTCTTCCCAGTTCACATGGGGTTAGGGGGTCTATGAATCAGAATTTGAATCTGTGCTGCCCCGAGGGGACGGGCGAGCTGAGCAGAAACCCCCAAATGCAATAAATAACAGCAAGCTCAAGCCCCTGCAGCAGCTACCACTGCCAGATTCCCTTCCCTTTGAACTGAAGGACATACAGGACTTCAACCCTCAATCTCCCTGCAGTGTCAAATTGGGGAATCCAACTGCTGGCTAGGCATAGGATCTAGCCTTAGTCTTTTGCTTTAGAGCATCATTTATGGCATGAACAAGGAACATAATGTGTTTACACACACACAACAATTGTACATCAGCATCTTTACAATATTAAAGGAATCATATACAAGTCTACAGGCATTGTACACGGAGAGGTGCTGACGGGGTGCCCCACCACCGAGCATTCTCTGCAGCTGCTCTTCCCAAAGGAGAGCCAGGAGGAGGGGACATGTGACAGTACAGGGGTGAGGCAGCAGGTCTGAGGACCCCTCCAGGCCCAGTCCTCATTAGGATCAGGAGTCAAGAGCCTGTATCCAGGTCTTATCGGCAAGCTAGCCTAACAAGTTTCATTAAAATTCAGTGTGCATAATTAATGTGGGAAACACAGAGCTAGGGACGGCTTCCTGAGCTGGGGACCCAAAGGACACTGTTAACAGATGGGTTCCTTCACCCTGGGGCCCATTCCTGAGGTAAGTGTGGTGTGGCCTGCGGTTGGTCTGGACATGGAACCCGTGTGAGTGCACACGCAGGACTGGGAGCCCCTGGGCATTAGGAGATGGGCAGGGGATTCATACAGCTGGGGTTTGGGCCCTGGCTAGGAGCAACAGTGAAGATTTCAGACGACAATAGAGCCATCCAATCCCACTCCAGCACCACTCTGCCTTCCCCCACCGCGGCTACACGGTTGTCCCCATTTTGTGCCTGTCACAGGGACAATGAATGTCAAAGGCCCAGCTCAGCAGGGGTCCGGGACCGAGTGCCCAGGCCACCCCCCACCACACGGACACACTGCCTGTCAGCAAGAATTGAGCACCGGAGGAAGAGCGTAGGTCCTTGTTGGCCTCTCTGACGTATGCAGACACCGCTCCCTTCATTTTAAATACTGTAGAAAAATAAGCCATTTCTGATGCGGGGAAACCCACCAGAGTCTGTCACACGTGACCCAGAGCAGCTCGTCTGGGGTGGGTCAGCAGAGTCTCTCAGGACACTGCCCAAGGCCAGGAGCCCAAGGATCCAGGGGAGCAGGTAGTGGAATTCTTGTGGCCTCTGTGGGTCACAACAGTCTGCAGTGGGCTTGCCTCCAGTATCCCACTTTCAGTTGCTGTGACACTCAGGCCCTCCTCTTCATGCCCACCACTAAACACCTCAGAGCTCTGTTTCCAGATCTCTGAGGTATCCCCAGGGCCAAGGGGGTCTCAGGTGGGCACTGAGGAGGGGTCTAGTCCAAAGGCTCCTGCTTTATCCGGAGGGCAGTGGGAATGGCCTGCAGCCGCCGTTCTTCTCTGCAGAGCACATACTCGCTGAACTGTGAGGAGTCCACACCGCCCCCACAGGAGGCGGCCATGCCGAACCCCTTCTGGAAGAGCCTCTCCAGGACCTGCTGGGAAAGGAAGAGGTCAGTAATGCCCAGCTTACAGGGTCAGCCTGGCTTGGCATAAGGGTGTAGGGCCTGCGTTTCCAAGTTGCTGTCTCCTGTTTAGCTCTCCATCGAACTCACCAACACAGGTCCCTACATACCCGGTAGCTGGGGAAATGGGCCGGGCTGCTAGTTCAGGGTTCTTCCAGTGATTGAACCTGAGTTGCTGCCCCCACAGAGCCTCAGGGTCCCTTCCCTTCTCCCTAGGGGTGCTCCCGGTAGTCTGCACCCTTTCCATAGACACAAAGTCTCAGAACCCCGCCCTCCCCAAGACCTGCTCCCAGCCTCCAGACAGCCACCTGCCTCCCTGGGCTGTGAATCCCAGATGGGTGAGCTGGGAGGCTCCCGGATATCAGGGATCTGAGTGGGAAGAAAGAGGAGGTGTTCTCTCTGCATCCCTACAAGCCCAGTGTCCACACTGTCTGCACCTCTGTGAGGGTACAATCTGACCACTGAGTCTGACACCAGTGCCTCGGTCACTCAGCAAGACGTGACCCACAGCCTGTAGATGGGCAGGGAAGTGGAGGGGAGAACTTTCCCCCAGACATTCTGTTCTGCCCAAACCCAGATATGGGAGTTGACTATGGGTTTGGGAAGAGCTGTTAGGAAATAGGCCCACTGTAGCTTGGGGTTTCCGTTCTCAGACCAGGTCACAAAATGCTCTGGGCGGCTGTTTGGGTGTCCATAGCCCACAGGCCAGCAGGGCCAGGAGAGGGGCTCTGAACCACCTCAACTCAGCCACTATCCTTAGTGTTCTGGCTTTCTGAGTTGAATTGTAACCCCAAGTCAGATTCTGGGTGTCACATGAAGCACAACTTTGTTGAATACACTCTGGGTCATTTTTATAGAATATCCATTTTAAGGGGGTTGAAATAAAAAGTACAGATCAAATTTTTTAAAGTCCACTCCCCAGGCTCCACCAGCCATCAATTAATTATGAACGGCACATCAATTATGCATCAACACATTGTTGCCTTTTCTGTAAGATGGCATGAGGGGCTGGCTGTTTCAGGGATGGTGCCTCCCTTGTCTCTCTGTGCTGTTAGGGGGCTTCAGGCAGACGGGGCAGCCGCAGCTCTCACCTGCACAGAATTGAGCCCACAGTAGCCATTGAGGGGGAAGCGGATGACATGGGTGGGGTCCTGGTTCCAGCCGGCATTAACCGAGTTGCACATGACGTCCCCGGTCTCGGGGAAGACTTCTTCAATGAGGGCCTTCTCACCGCTGAGCGCGATTCGTTCCCCCAGGTCAGGGGTCACACGCAGCACCAGGCAGTCGCAGGGCCGGCAGCGACGGCGCTGCTCCTGCTCCTGTTGCCAGCGTTCCAGCTCGCGTACCATGGGCTGCAGCTGGTAGTAACGCGCCTCCTCGTACAGTAGGCTGAAGTCCTAGGGCACAGACACACTGAGCGTGGGTGAGGGTAGGGGTCTGCCTTTCCTAATTCCAAAAGGGCTGAGACCTCCAGGGCACAGTGTGGGCTGGGGGTGGGTTAGTCCCATTGTACAGATGGGATAAGGGAGGCTCGGGTGAATGTGTGCAGGCAGAAGTCGTCTAGCATTTACCCAAGGGCAGCAGCTGGTCAACACCTGAGCCAGGTCCCTGAGCCCTCCCACCTGGTCCATGGGGCCTAGAGAAGCCTCCTGAAAAGACTGGAACACTGCACCTGAGGAGCTGCAGGCTGAGCAGATGCCTGGGGACCTGCTGCTGTTTGAGGCCCACCCAGAGAAGAGGCTGGACTGGGCTGGGTCCAGGGCAGCTCCACCCTCACCTGCCCTGGAGAAACTCACAGCCCCCCAAGGAGGTAAATCAGTACATTACAGAGAGTGTCCTCGCCAATCATACTTGTCTGGGCTCGGATTTCAACTTCATCCTCTACCAGCTCTGAGACCTCTGAGCCTCAGCTTCCTCATCTATAAAATAGGCCTATATATCCAGCTCGGAGAAGGAGAATGAGGATTAAAGAACACAAGATCTGTCAAGTGTTTGGTTCTATCCAAGTAGCCCCTTGGCACCGAGTGTGATGAGGTGTCTGTGGAGGGTTGTTAGTCTACTACCCTGCAGAACACATGCCCCACCACACCCATCCCAGGCCTGAGTGGTCAGCAGGCCATCACAAATCTCACTGGTAGACCTGGGGGCCCTGGGAAAGAGGCAAGGAAACCGTACCTCAGATGCAGGGCCTGGACTACGGGATCTCCTAAGTCCCCTCCACTTGCTGACCCCAGCCTGTGGACCGTCCTGAGGGAGAGCTCCAGCCCTAGGACCCACCTGCCCCTAGACAGTCCATCCTCTTATTCACCCTGAGGGTTTAACTGACACATGTATGCCAACAGCCCCATGCCTTCTCAGAGTGCCCCCTGAAGTCCCACCAGCAACTCCATGCAAGATTGGGTGCCACACTCCACACAGCCTATCCACCCGGGGGCCTCACACCAACTCGAGACTCAAACCAGGAGGGAGGCACCCTCAAGAGCCCCCTTGCCCACAGGTAGTGTACATCTTGTCCTTTGCAGCCCCTCCCTAACCCTAAGCCTAATCTGCCCCTTTGCTCCATCGTCTATGGCTCCATTCCAACATCCTTCCAACATTGTTCCCTTGGCTGGGGGAAGCAGTCCTCCCCAGGACTACTGTCCTGCACCCACTTCCCTACCCTGCCCGTATCCTCCTCCACACAACAGCCAGCGAGATCGTTCCAGTTTGTGAAGATAGTCATTCTCCTTCTCACCTTCCCACTGCATGCAGAGAAAAAATGCCCCCAAGGTCCTGAGGGCCAAACAGCGGCCTCCTTCCTGCCCTTCCTCTCGCCATTCATAAGGCTTGGGCTGCACAACACTCTCTAGCTCTTTCCTTCATCACTGACATGAACATTGTTTGACCCAGAAAACCCACTGGGGCCAGGTTCCCTGCTGTTCACTCTCACAATCCCCTTCTACTTTCCTGAAGCATTTCCCACAACAGACCTTGAGTGTGCGTTTGTTCTAGACTTCCCACTGGATTGAGAGCATGTTGGGGCAGGGCCTACATTAGCCTCATGTTTCATTGTACCTTCAGCTTGAGTTGGATGAAAACACCAAACAGTCCCAGGACCGCTGGTCGGTCCTCTGGGTCCCATGCAAGGAAGGAAAGAGAGATGGACGGGCATTTGGGTTAGAGTCCTCTTCCTCCCTGGAACCTCAGTGCCATGAAAGGGGTCCAATACCAAGGCAGGACTTGGGGAACGGAGGCAGCTGCCCTGGAAGGGTTCTCCCTAAGACCTAGGGATAACCTCAATACCAAGGCAGGACTTGGGGAATGGAGGCAGCCGCCCTGGAGGGTGATAACCTTTTGTGTATAAAGGGTATCTGGTTTGGATCCCGGACAGATCTGTGCCAACAAGGGACAGACTGATGTGATGAGTCTCCTGTAATCCAGACACACCCAAGTCCTTACACATGACAAGCGTTAAACTGGGGTAAGTGCCGCCGTTGCTACTGTTTAATTGTTGTTACACCCTGATAAATAAGTTAAAAATGTGAGAAAACAAAATTAGTTTAGAAAAACTGATTTCGCCCTAGGCTTCATCGTTTAACTTTTTATGGTTGCCATGACGACCGTGGGTCCATTTATTAAGTCACAGCGTCCCCTGTGTAATGCCATCGCACACACAGCGATGGGGGAGCCGCTGGCTGAAGACTTACCTTGAAGTCGTCGGGAAGCAGCAGTTTTGACGTCCGCAGGAAGCTCAAGACATAGCGGAAAATCTCCCCGTCCCGGTCAATGAAATAATGTTGCTTCAAACTGTCCAGGACGATGGGCTCAGTGCCATTGAAAAGGCGGCTTATTCTGGGAGAGGGAAGGGAGGGAAGAGGCTGTGTCCGCCTGACCCGTCCTCACTCCTGGGGGGCCTTCCCAGCCTGACGGGAGGGGAGGCCCTTGGGCTGCACTTGGGTTGGGGTGATGGGGCACAGATGCACACAGCTAGGACAGCCAGACCATGGTCAGCATACCACACAGTCCACCTACACTTACCAGCCACAGATGGATCCGGACACACCCAGTTGTTCACATGAGCCTGCCAACACACACTCCAGGTCTGGAAAACTACAGCAAGACACAGACGCGGCCACCTTATCCCTCACACAGACCAGCTAGTCACAGACCTGGGACACACCAGACAGACCCACCCTGAAAACTCACCTCAGTCATCAGAGCCCAGCCAAGAACCACACACCTGGTGAGCACGCAGAAAGCAGCCAAGACAGAGGCCTTCCACCAGAGCACAAATGGCCCCACACAGCCACTTCACCCGACCGACGCCAGTGGGCACCAGACTCGTACACCCAGGCAATAAGCACAGAGCTGTGCATATATACATCCCCTCCCTCCTGAACAGACTCAGACATTGCCAGACACACAGTAGACAACACAAGCCAACTTGGCACATAGTTGTAAAACCCAAACTCTGCAAACCCACTGCCCCCGAGTCAATTTTGACTCAAAGCGAGTCTGTAGGACTCTGTAGAACTGCTCCCAAGGGTTCCAAGGCCGTTAAATCTTCATGGAGGCGGACAGCTTCATCTTTCTCCCTTGGAGTGGCTGGTGGGTTTGAATCAACGACCTTGAAAGTTAGCTGCCCAATGTTGGCAGCACTGTGTCACCGGAGAGAGCCACAGGTGAACAACCCACAGCCACTCATTCAGGGAGCCATGAGAGGTACAGAGGCAGGTATACATGCCACAGCGCATGAGTATGTGTGCCGGTGACAAAGTGCACGCATGCACACACACAAGGTTGCCTGCACACATACAATGCACACACATGGCCCAGAGTACATGCAGCATGCACACACACACACATGTACACACCCAGGCATGCACAGGGAAGCAAACAGATCCTGGCAAGTGGCAAGTGGCTAGCACAGGAAGTACAGGACCTCCCGGAAACTCTTGGGGACCCTTGATGCCTGTCCCTATCTGCTCTGGAAAAGGGGGCCTCAGAGCCAGGCTGGAGTTGCCCCCATGCTCAGCACAGCAGGTTCTGGTTTGGCTAACTTCCTCTGAAGACCCCTGGCTGACCTATGAACCTTTATGAGCCCTGATGAAGGGTAGAGGCTGCCAGAAACTGGGTTTAGGGACAGGAGGGCGGATGACAGGGTCCCTCAATGATAGTATCAGCAGATATTCTCTGATATTATTCCCCAGCTAGACCCCAGCAGGGTAGAGCCTGAGAGAAGGCAGCTAGACCTCTGACCCAGCTTCAAGCTGATGCCTCAGGCCTCTCCCTTCCTCAGCCCGCACTAGCAGAGACCCTTCTGGGGAGGTCTCCCTCTTCCCACTGAAGGCCCCTCAGTCACTCCTAAGACTCTACCCCACCGCTGCATTGTGTGCATACTGGGCAGAGAAGAGGGGTTTAGGTTCCCCAAGCCCCTCTCAGAGCCCCTCATATACACGGCCCTCTGCTCTAATGGCCTAGCAGAGGCATCAGCCAGACCTGTTCTGAGTGTGTGGCCTAACTTCTACTCCACTGGGTTCATATAAAGAATACGGCTGCCACACAGATGCCGTGAGCAGATCGGAGCCAGCCATGAGGTATGGAGAAGGGTGAAGCAATATTGCAGTGCACCCCAGACACAACTCCCTTAGGCTTCCAGAGACCACAGAGCCTGAGCTTCCTGGGCTGGGGGAAATGGTCCTGGAAATCCAGTCCCTGCTGTAAAGCCTTGTGGGCTCCACAGCCTGTCCATCCTACAGAGTCCCAACACTTGGCCTCAACAGAGCTTAGAATTCAGATGTCAGAGGGAAGGACACCCCTCAGCCTAGAGACAGATGTGACTGTGTGAGGTGCTATGGGCAGTTGTCACAGCCAATATGACATCAGCAAGAAAGAACAAGACTCACATTCACAAGGAAGTCTCAGAGGCCAGTCTTGGTCTCTCTGGGGGAATGTTCTCTTTCTGGTAGAGCACTAACATTCTGTGCAGCAAGTAACGTTCTGAGCCCGGCTAAGTTCTAAGTCCTTCTGATAGTCATCGTGAGTGTCTGCAAGACTCCAGACCCATCCACATTCCAGGGCTGGCTGGCTTCTAGATTGTCTTATTGGTCCAAGGCTAGAAGGTTTCTGATCTGCCTACTTCGGGGTTGGAGGCTCTAGGTCCTCCCACGGTCCAGTATCTGCTGGAGGATAATCTGGCAGCAGCTTCTCATAGGACGAGTGCCTTTCAAGCTCTTGGGGTCTGGAGCTAACAAGGAGACAGGTTGGGAATCCCCTGCCACTTACAGGGTCTTAAAGAGTCCAGCTGCTGCTCTGACCTCTGCTGATTTTTGCCATTGGTTCCATGGGTCCCCTGTGAAAGCCAGCTCTGGGTCAGCCTCTGGAAGTCCTTCAGGGAACAGAAGGCCAACTCACTCATCAGCAGCTGAGACCCTCAAGGGCACCCACGTACCCGCGTAGACAAAGAGGGGGGGAACATCACATGCTTTCTTTTTTTAAAAAAAGCTTTGGCTCCAATTTCCTGGTTGTTTCAGTGAAAAGGTTTGATTAGTCCCGAGAGCTCCTGGCCATCTGAATTTGCTGCTTCTCCCAGCCAGTCTGGATGCCAGAGTGCAGCTGTGACTGCAGCAGCCTTAACATGTCCAGCAGGCAGGCCACAAGTGAGGCCACAGCCCAGGATGCTGGGCTCGGCCATTTCTGGGTGAGGACCAATGGCTGGTGCTGGGCGGGACCAGAGGAGGCACCCAGGCTCCCCTATTCCTTGTGTTGGAGTCACCCTGGCCAGCCAAAAACCAGATGCCCAGACACTGTGCTGTGGGCAGTGGCCTGGGGTGAAGGGACACCAGCCCCGGGTTCTCATAGTACTACCTAATGCAGGATTTGGCTGACATGCAGAAGTCCCTTGACATTCTCTACCTGTAAGGGACTTGGCACACAGTAGTGACACTGGGGATTCATGGAAAAGAGATTCAAAGAAAACTGTTCTTAAATGTATAGCCCATTTACTGGACCTGGGCTGACCCACCCTGTCCTACATTCCACGCTGCCCTCTGGTCTCTGGGCCAAAGCTTCAGGCCTAGGGAGCAACTCTCCTTGGGACCAGATGTGATTGAGGCTGAATAACAGACTCATCTTGAGGTCCCATCACCCCTCAGGGCACATATCTCAGTAAGAGGGTGTCCCCCACCTCAAAGCAGGGCAACATGTGGGCCCAGGAAGGGATGACCATCCACCTATTCTCTCTTGTTGGGAGAAAAGAGTGAGGAGAGTTCCCCCTCACCTCCCCTCAGAAAGGAGCATGTCTGATTTCAGGAAACACTCTTGAGGTTGTGGACAAAGGTTTTCTGAATTTAACTCACAAATATCATCAACCGATTAAGAGATGATCTATCTCAAACAACTCGGGAATGCTGAAGAAGGCAAAATTGAAATTAAACAAGCAGAATCCATCTCCCAGCCTAGACAGGGCTCTGTGAGCAAGTGTACTTCTGGCACGGCCTCATGCCCCCAGAGTCCCACGTTCACCAGAGCCCCAGGTGCCGTCTCTACTGGGCTGAGGGAATGCAGCCTCAAATGCCATCTGTACCCCAACTTCCCTCAGTTCCATGTTTTCCTTGAGGACACATCCATGCCCCAGGGCAGGGCTCTACCCCAACCCTCAGCTACCTCCATGCACCACAAAGCCTCCCTGCTCAGTCACATCAAGGACAAGGAACAAACCTGGCACGCAGGCTTCCAGAGACCTTCCTTTGGTGTCAGGGAGACTAATTAGTCTTCCTGCTATTTTAAATGTATCAAACAGGGGTGCCCCCTAAATTCTTAACACTCCTGAGCGCAGCCCTTGGCAGTCCTAGGGAGTGGAGACCGCCTGGCTGTGCCGGGAACAAGCAGTCAGCAGCATGCTACATCTTGAACCTACCTCAGTCAACACTGTTGCTGTGCCCAGGAAAACCAAGTCCTCCCCAAGAAGCGAAACCCCCAAGAGACAAGTGCAGGAGATGGGTACCACCAATGACTGGCCCAGGTCCCCAGAAGCAGGCATGCATGTGACTTCAGCAGAGTGGGGGGCTCTTTATTGAGAGAAGCCCCCAAGTCTTCAGCCAAGGCCCTAGCTAGAGACACTTTATCCACTGTTGGCTATATCCCCAGCCCTGGGTACCCACGAATGTCCAGGAATTACCAAGCTGGCCACAATAACCCTCAGCCCTAAAGAAGGCCTATGGTTAGCCCTTGAAGACTGGGGGTGGCCACCCAAGTGGACAAATCTGGTCATGCTGCATCTTCACAAAGGTTAGAATAGAAAGTAAGCTTTAAATACATCTCATCTCCTGTCTATCAAATGGTCAAGAGAACCGAAAGTCATGACCTCCCAGTCGGCTAGGAGCTCCATCTAGCTCCACCAAGGCTGCCAGCAAGATGCTATGTAAACCATCTTTCAACAGAGAGGCTTGACCTCACAAAACCCAGTTCTGTGGATCTGCATCAGTCATGCCCTGTCAATTGCTGGAACGGGCTGCTGACACCGCCCCTCAGTGCTTCGCATCTTACGCTCCAGGAGCGCAGCTCTTACCTGGAGTCGGGGTATTTGGTGAGGGTGGCCAGGCTGCTGGTATACATGTGACCGCCCACATCGATGTGCACAGGTGCGTTGGACTTGGTAAGTTGGGCTGGCAGTGGAATGCCCTGGGCAGCCAGGGGAGACACAGGTGACCGAGTGAGAGACAACCGGGACATGCTTCCTCCCTCCTGGACAGAGAAAACAGGCAGAAAATTCAGTTTTTGCACGACGAAGGAGTGTGATCACAGATCTAATCAGATCACTTCTGCCTGCAACTGATCACATACGCAGCTGACAAATTATGGCCACCACTGTAATTATGTGTAATGTATTTGCATCATTTTCTTCAAAGTACCAGAGGGGAAAAGGAAAGGAAAAAAAAAAAAAGAAGAAAGAAAGAAGGAAAGAAAGAAAAGATGCTTATTAGCAATAAGAAATCAAGAAAGAAAAAAAAATTTCAAGGTGTCAGCCTCCAGGGGCATAAAACAAACTGCAAAATTCTAATTAAAGGTCGCGGGCTTATGTGTTAGATGTGAAATATCCCCTGACAAACGAATCACCAATTTGTGAATTGGGATTCAGGGGTTTTTTGCAAGTTTGTCTCAGTAACGAGACACCTCTAAATTAGTGACTTCCTCAGCACCTAAGGCGTTGAGTTTTATACATGTAGTAAATTTCACATCAAATTAAGAGCATTTTTGTGTGTGTGTGTTTTTTTTTTTTTAAATACATAATCCTATAGCCAGTCAACAGCTATCCCTTGAGTGTTGATGCTAGGAGGAAGGGTAGCCAGTGAGCTGACCCTCAGATAAGGGCAAAGCGGGGGACCATTGCTCTGCTGGCTCTCACCAGGGTGCCTGCACTGCTGTGTGCGTGAAGCAAGGACCCGCTGGGCCGCTCCTTGCGGTGAGGCATCTAGGCTTCCATCGCTGCCCAGAGTATCTGTGAGAAGAAAGCATCAACAAAACCAACCAGAGGGGCTTACTTGTCAGCAACCGTTTCTGCCACAGAGTCAAAGATGTTTAGAATCTTCATTTCTGCACACATCTTCTGGGACCCCCATGCCATGTAGTCCCCAAGATACCTAATCCTTCCTCTTCAGATTCTTTCTCTCCACACCCTAGACTCCCTCGCCGCCCCCTCCCAGCCCTCGCCCAAAGTAAGACTCTGGTGGTGGCGGTTATGTGCTGTGGAGTCTGTTACGACTCATAGCGACCCTGTACAGGGTTTCCAAGGCTGTAAATCTTTACGGGAGCAGAAAGCCTCATCTTTCTCCCACAGAACAGCTGGTAGTTTCGAACTGTTGACCCTGTGGTTCGCAGCCCGATTCGTAACCACTACACTACCAGAGCTCCTTAAAGTAAGACTCTAGGCCATGGCAAATTACACACTCACACACACATGTGTTTTCTGGGCAGCTCCATGTCTGTTAATTTAGCTAATGACAGTACTGAAACATATGCTTCCCATTATGGGTCCAAAAGGTTTCAGAACAAATCGGATTTTCCTGATATTTTGGTTTCGAGCCATGTTACCAAGCGTGTCTCCTCTTGCATCAGCAAAGAATGGTGCAGACAGGGGCTTGGGGAAGTTTCCACAGCCTCCTTGGGCTGGGGACCACACTTAACACTGTCACCATTCCCAGGCATGGGCAGCTGCAGCCAGATGGACCCAGGGAAGAGGGAACATCACTTGGGAACCCACCTCTCTCCTATGCGCTACCAACAGCATGGAAACTTATCTTTGTTTGCACCTCACAGTTTCTCCCTAGAATCCCAGAACCATCTCCTAATGGTTTCCAGACCCCTCATGATGCCACCCCGGCCCCCAGAGTAGCCAGAAGGAAGCCAGGAAACCGACAGCAACTCAGCAAATGGGCCAGTTCTCCTGCTCTTCCCCAAGCTCTCAGAGACCCTCCTCTGTACCACAAGTCACCTTAGATAAGACTGTCTGTCCCTCATTCCCTAGGAGCCACCTCGTTGTGAAGTAGGGTAGCAAGAGCAGGTTTATGCAACTCTTTCCACTTGGGGTTGCCTCAGGGGAGCAGGGGGAGGGGAAGGGGAGAGAGGAAACTTAGTAGTGAAAACACACACATACACACACCTAACCTGGATTTACTTCTCACACAGGTTTAACTGATAAGAGAGCAATCAAATGAAATTCTTGAGACCCAAGAGATTGACATCGGCATCTGACTGTGGTAACCTACATTTGTGCCTGCATATGCAACATTAAATTGTCAAACGTGGACCAAGGTCCAATGAGAAGCACACCCTGCAAATATAAGTAAGGTTACTCTCCATAAGGTAAGCACTGGACTGTTAATTGCCGGGTCAAACCCACCAACCACTCCTCGGAAACTATACAGGGTCCTCTATGAGTCGACGGCACTGGCAAGGGACAAGAAACTGGAGGGAAGGTAAGGGGATAGTTATTAGCAGTCAGTGATGTTTAACTTAAACCTTCACTGTGTGTTGCAGGGAGTGGGGAGCTGCTTTGGGTCCAACTGCTTTTGGCATTCCTGAGTTACAGCAGGCTTGAAAAAGAAAACTAGATCACTTAAGAAAGTTCTGAGAAACCAAAACCAACCTCAAGACTGGATTATGGTACCCTGGGAGGCTTTGCTGCCGGAGGAGTCATCAGGCAAGATGCAGTGAGGATGAACAGAACAGGAAGAGGTTCCCACTGAAATGCCATCCAAGTGGACTCCACGAGCTTCTCCTTCCTACCAGCACACTACCCAAAGTGACTTTTAACACCAAGCACCCGTCAGAAACGCTGCCCCATCCTACTCTGACCCAGCGGTTTTTTGTTTTTGTTTTTTTCCAGGGCAATCACACCCTCGCTTAGCAAAAGCTCACGGCAAACCAGAAACTCACCATTGGAAGCCCCCTGGCTTTACGCCTTGATGCGAACCTCCAGTGTTCCCTCGGACAAACGCATTAGTGCTGGACAACGACCTTTCCTGCAAACCACTGCTAAGGTCAGAAGCATAAAAGTGGGCCCAGTAAGAGACACAAGTTAGGGCACCAACACCAGCATCCAAACCCACGATCCAGCCCCGGCGCGCCCGGGCCGCCCAAGGCTGGGCCAAACCGCCTGTTGCAGGAGCTTGGGTTGCAGTGCGCGCGGGGGCCCGCGGGTTTCCAAACTAGCTCCGTAATGACCCGTTTCTCTGAGCTGCGGCGGGAGCCCGGAGCCCCGCCCGCCCGAGCAGAGGGAAGCCAGCAGAATGCCACGCTCATTTACACACAAAATGATTTTGTGTCCCATTGTGCTCGCAGTTGTTCAGCTCTCTGGGGGTGATTAAACTGGCTGTGCTGCGGCAGCTTGAGACAATTTCACTAAATCGCTTCTTCGTGAAGTCGCTTCTTTGCTAAGCTGTTATTTTAACCATAAAAGGTAAACAGAAGGCGGCTCACTAGCTCTCTTCAGTTCCGCGCCCTGAGCGTCGGCCCGGGGCGAGGGTGCCTGCGGCAGGGTGGAGGGGCGGGGGCTGCAGAAGTGTCCACGGTGAAGGCCAGCATTGAAGCGGGTGGGGCACCTGGTGCGCGTCTGCTCTGCTGCGAAGCACGCGGGCCGGTGTGAACTTCCGAGCGGCCTGAGCCGACCGGGACGTGGCCGGAGAGCGCCGCGGGGCGGGGATGGCCGTGGAACCCTAAGCACCAGGCCGGGTGGGGAGGGAGTGCGGCGGGGGCGGGGCGGGGGACAGTTAAATCTAGAGGCAGACTCTTTGAGACCACAGATGGGGAGCTCGCCTAATTAAGGACGTAAAAGCGCTTTTGTTCTCAAAGTTTATTGTTGCCGAGATTAAAAAAATAATTGAAACTAATGCTGTTATTCACTCGTGCAGTTAAATTTCTTCGTGCACATTTGAGACACGGAGTGAAAACTTGAAGCTTAGCTTTCTGCAGTCGTGGGTGGGGGGCGCCCGGGGGAGGTAAGGCGCTTTGGCGCGGGCGAGAGGGTTGTTAGTGAGTGCCCAGTGCGCGCGTCTAAGGCAAGGGGTGAGGGCGGGGAAAAGGGGTCCGGAGACCGCGACCTAGTCTCTACGCGGCCGGTCCTCGAACCCCACGCGCGGGGCTCGACTGCCAGCGCACCGGCTCTTCTCTCCCCTTTGCTGGGTGGGCGTCAGGAGGACTGTCCCGTTAGAGACTTTTTCTCCGATTTGGGCGCCATGTGGGGTCCTGTTCATCCTGAAGCCCCAGATGCCCAAGCAGGGTTCTGACCCCGGAAACTCGTCAGCCCACAGGGCACTCGGGCCGGCACTCCGATCAGAGTACGGGGACCTCCGCAGGAAGCTCGGCACCCGCCTAGTGGAGATGGTCCACCCGCGGCCAGGATTAGCCCACGTGGACAACCTCCCCCCACCCCCGCGCCAGGCCTTTGTGCTGTGCGCCCCCGTGCCGCCAGCCCCCGCCGCCCAGCACTGGGACAAAGCAGTCGCCCAAGCCCAGGTCCGGACCCTGGGCCGAGCGACTTTCTCCGCATCTTGGCCACTTTGGGGACAGGGGTGCACAACGCTGAGGGGTTGCCGGCCGCGCTGGGCTTACCTCGGAGCCGGAGAGGCGGATCGGGCTCAGGCGTAGCCTCCGCCCCCCCGCAGCCGCCAGGTCTCTGGCACCCGGCGCAGCCTTGCAGCCTGTGCTGGCTGCGCGGGTCGCTCCGGTGTCGTCCTGGAGTTACTTTCTCTCTCGCCCCCAACCCT